TTAGCCCAAATGGTGCATTATATTGCAACAATTTTTGAATCAAGGTACCTAAAATCTGCTAACTTAAAGAATGTGTAAAAAATCCAGGACCCATTACTCCAGTGGAATTGAAATTTCCAGGATGTTCAGACCAGTTTTATTCACAAAGTTGGGGCCATTGCAGCATCCCTGCGGTCATGTGATCGTGATTTCTGATGCTCCCTGCCAGCTTCCCACAACCAAAGTCAGTGGGGAAACTGGCAGAAAGTCAGAAGTCGCTCCCGCTCTCCCTTTTTGGTCCACCTGTGGTCATTCTGTTTATCTGTTTAGGTAAGTAAATATTGACTTATTATTGAGGCTTGTTTGCCACTACAACTGTTTTTCTATTTATGATATATACTCTTCTTAGATGAGTGTTTCTCAGCCTTGGCAACTTTAAGATGTGTGGACTTCAACTCCCAGAATTCCCCAGCCAGCAAGGTGGAAGGAATAATCAGATTAACAGAAGACACATATTGAGTGAGAGAGCTCACTTAACCTGGAAGTCAAAAATAAAATTCTTGATGGGCTAAAGAAATGGGCTGAAAGTGGCAGGATGAAACTGAAGAATCGCCAAAGCAAGAGGTCTTCACTTAGAGATGAAACTCAAGGTCTGGGGCTACCAGATTCCTGATTTCTGGCCACTCTAGACTAGCCCGGCTCTCCTCCCACACTAGCTTGGGATATACTTCTGAGAAAGATCTTGGAATAGTGTTGACTGCAAAGGGGATACTCTGCAGCAGGCTGAGCTTAGAGTTAGGGTTAGGGTTAGAGAGGAAACTGATATATTATGCTGCTTGGAAGAAATATACTAAATTGCCACATTTGCTTCCTCAGGGAATGCCTAATGGGTTGATTGATTGATTGATTGATTGATTATGTGCCATCAAGTCATTTGACTCCTAGCCTCCTAACCACACAAGATTTTCTTCATGGCAATCTATCCCTAGCCTGTTCTTTCAGGTATCCCAAGGGTGCCCCCACCGCCACTGTAACTGAGTCCACCCCCCTTGCTGCTGGTTGTCCTTTTCTTCTCTTTCCTTCCACCTTTCTCAGCTTCAGAGCCTTTTCCAGAGAGCTGAGTCTTCACATCATGTATCCAAAGTAGGATACGTTGAGCCTGGTCACCTGTGCCTCAAGTGAGAACTCTGGGTTGACTTGCTTGATGATCCATTGGTTTGTCTTCTTGACTGCCCATGGTATTCTCAAGAATAACTTCTCCAATGCCAAAGTTCAAAGGTGTCAATACTCTTCCTACCCTGCATCTGTAAAATCCAACTGTGACTTCCATAGGGTGTCACGGGGAATGCCAGGGCTTGACGATTCTGATCTTTTTGATTCTGATAATGGGTTAGGAATCCCAAATACTTGAAAAGATACAACAGTCTTAATCAAGTTAAAGTCAAATAGTAAAGTTAAATAATGTGAGTTTCTAGTAGCTATTACCAGCAATAAATCTGATTTAATGTTATTAATTGATTATGTGCTGTAGTGGAGAAAATAAACATAACAAAATGGAGACTGTGCCCCTCTCCCCTTTTGGATATGACCAGGGTCAAACCAGTTCTTCTCCTTGCCTAACCCCATCAGACCCAAACTGACCCCCCTGCCCCAGACAAGCCCCCCCCCCGCAATCCCATCAAGCCAAAGAAGCAGCCCCCTCACCAGCTGAAGCCCAGCCCCAGGGCAGCCCCAGGAAGGGAATTGCAACAGCTGAGAAACGCCAACATTCCATCCCCAATCAAGGACACGCCCCCCATTGTCTCAACATTCCGTCCCCTTCACAATGGACTTCCCAGCTCTGCTGTCCTCCTGAAAGGCCCCTTTTGCCTAACAATGGAACTCACCCCAGGTGCACTGACAAGGACCTGCCTAGCTTCCCCAAACTGGGCAGTCAATCAGATCGCGAGGGTTTCCCGCCTTGCAATCCTCAATAAAAATCTTTGCTTTTCCATTGTTCCTGTAAAGCAGGCCCCAACTGTTGCAATGAACATGGTTCTTCTCCTCAGTGTTGTGCTCCTTCTTCAGACTGAATTCACAACAGTGCCGTTAGGTCGGTGTTGGCTCTTAGTGACCACATGGATAGATTTTCTCCGTGACAAACTGTCCTAACCTGGTCCTTAAGTCTTCCAATGGTGCACTTATGGCCACTGTAGCTGAGTCCATCCCCCTTGCTGCTGGTCGTCCTCTTCGCTTGCCTTCCACCATTCAGAGCTTCTCCAGAGAGCAAGGTCTTCACATCATGTGTCCAGAGTAGGATAATTTGCACTTGGTCATTTGTGCCTCGAGTGAGAACTCTGGGTTGATTTGTTCAATGATCCATCAGTTTTCCTCGGCTGTCCATGGTGTTCTCCGGAGTCTTCTCCAACACCCAAGTTCAAAAGCATCAACACTCTTCCTATCCAGCTTCTTCAAAGTCCAACTTTTTCATCCCTAGAGTGTCACAGAGAATGCCATAACTTTCATGTTTCTGATCTTTGTAGGTATTTAATGTTATGCTTTTTATCTCTTCACTGGTAGACTGCTTTTCCTGCACAAGATCAAGGGGATGAACAGAATGTTCCCCCCATAATTTTCTCCTCATCAACCACCCCATGAAGTTGCCTGGGCTGAGGGCTCGTCCTCATGGCTACATTAATGTGCAGTCTTCCAGTCAAGAGAAATAGATGCCAAACTCAATTGCCCTATACAGAGTGCTGAACCCTATTCTGCCTTGGTAAAAGAGCCAATGAATGCTACCCTTACCAGGGTTGTCTGGGAGGGTCAAAAAAGTCAAGATAGTGGTTGAAAAATGGAGATGGTATGGCCCTTGCTTGGGTCCTTAAATCAGTTGACATCCAGCCCACTGTTGTATTTGTCAGAAAATATCACCCCTTTGAATTTGAAACACAGTTGTATACAAATGATGAACATGTTAAACATGTTTAAATGTATAAACACGATAAACATGCTAAAATGTATAAACTTCTACTGAGATTTGAAATAGAAGAACAAGTAAAAGAATGTATGATAAAGTGGCCCAAAATTTTGGTTAGAATATACAGATGGAACACTGGGAAAATAAGTGGTTGAGAGGATTGAAATCTACACTATGTTATAATCTTAAAGGGAATTTTTATAAAATGATGTACCGTTGGTATAAGTCACCAGAGAAATTGTTTAGAATGTATAAAGGCACTTCAAATTTATGTTGGAAATGTGAACAACAAGAAAGGACATTTTATCATGAGAAATTGTTTAGAATGTATAAAGGCACTTCAAATTTATGTTGGAAATGTGAACAACAAGAAAGGACATTTTATCATGAGAAATTGTTTAGAATGTATAAAGGCACTTCAAATTTATGTTGGAAATGTGAACAACAAGAAAGGACATTTTATCATGCTTGGTGGACATGTAAAAAAGCTAGAAAATGTTGGATTCCAATACACACACTGATTCAGAGGATTTTAAAGATTAATATACAATTGAGAACAAAGGTTTTCTTTTGGGATTGATGGACAAATAGCTGGAAAAAAGTTATGGAACTTTGTTTTTGTATATGATAACTGCAGTGAGATTATTGTACACAAAGATTCAGCACTACCCACAAAGAAGGAATGGTTGGTGAAGACGATGGAACTTGCTGAGATGGCTAAAGCGACTTCTTTGATCAGAGAAAAGACACTATCTCCATT